TCTCTTGAACTAGTTCGTCTAAAAGAACTATAAGCACACCTTTAAGGCCGTTCCTTGCGTTTCTGGGCATAGCTAAGTTCCAATGTAAAAGTTTATATCAAATAACGCAAAAACTATGGCAGATATTGAGATGATTCTTTTTTTATATGGAAGGTATTAAAAAGTTCTAGTGCACTATTTGGTTGTAAATTAATAAATTGTTTAAATAATATTTTTTTTCAAATATTTTTGGTTAAAATAAACGTAATTTTTTTTTTTTAAATAGGGCACTGCAGAATTTGACCCACTTTCCGAATCTGTTTTTATTTTTAACATAAAGTGTATCACAAAGCAGCTATTTGGTATAAACCTTTTGAAAAATCTCAAATTTTGCTAAATGTTACTTTCTCTCTCGGCCAGTACAGGCTCTCCTTGTCGATAGTTTCTGGATTCTCGCCGACGGTTAGGTTGGTTAGGTAAGAAGTTTAATACCCTCTCGAAGGTGGGTCATAAATAATGTTGAATAATATTATTATGGTTTATTTCGACTTTTGACAAACCAGTGTGTTAATTGTTTTTAAAATGGGTAGTTCACGAAGACGTTTATGTTCGGATTGAGGAAATTTTATATAAATAAGCAGTAAGTACCTATAATTTGATTAAATTTTTATATGAATAGAAATATTTTCTGTTGATTTGTAACATTTTCCTTCTAAATGTTTATACTGTTTTTATAATAATACTATTGTTTCAGTATTTGCTTATATAATAATAATTTATTTTGTAGAAACAGCGTAGAATTTTGGTCAATCAGCCAGTACATTTTATTGTATTTCAATCAGAATTATTATTTTCTTTTCTTCTTTACATAAAAGCTTAGAGTAATACTCAAATATTTTGCAGTATTTGAATACGGAATTTAATTATTTATATTTATTGGTCAATACCCAAATATTTTGCTGTATTTGAATATGGAATTTGATTATTTATATTTATAGGAATTTTATTTTGAACGTTTTTGTTAGTAAAGTTTACATAATACATGAAACAAGTTTGTTTCTTTAATTGCGTGTCCAGCCATATTAGTCCAGGGTTATAAGGATTTTCTCGTGACACTCAATAATCCAGATAGCTGACAACGTTTTCAGTTATTGTAGACCTATAAGAAGAAAACCTACCTGTTTCCTGCGTAAAGTTCGGAGCCGTTTTTAAATGATTAACAATTTAATGCAAAAATACGCGATTCTTTCGATTTTGCACTCTATTATTTATTTATTTATTTTTGCGCACAACAGGCCTAGGGCATTTTTTTACAACATAATTCTAATATTAACTAATTACAATTATTTTAAACAAAACTTTAACTTAAATATGTATATATAACATTCTTAACTACTCTGAAGGACCTGGTATACAATATTTTTCCATTCGCTTCTATTTTGTACTTTTATTTTCCAGTCCATCACCTTCACGTGTTTAAGGTCTTCCTCCGCTTTACTAATCCACCTCGTTCTGGGTCTACCTCGTCTTTTGGGGCCGATTAATTTTCTGGTTATTACTAGTTTGGGCATTCTGTTTGCTGCCATTCTTTCCACATGTCCCAACCATCTGATTCTTTGTGCCTTGACGAACTTGGTAATGGTAGGTTTTTGTATAAAGCCATTAATTCATTGTTGGTTCATCTCTCCCAACCATCTTCTGTCTTCCGTCCTCCGAATATGCATCTCAATATTTTCATTTCCCATCTTTCCAGAGTATCCTCTTCCTTCTTATTTAATGTCCATGTCTCACCGGCATATGTTACTGTAGGTCGAATTACTGTTTTATATATTCTGAGTTTACCTTGTCTAGAAACGTATTTTGAGTTCAGTAGGGCTCTTAAACCACCTAATTTTTTATTCCCTTTTGTTATTCTGGCTACGAGCTCCCATTTCTCTTTTCCATTTTCATCGAAAACTACACCCAGGTATTCAAATTTGTCCACCCTTTTAAAACTATAGCTTTTACCACTTACTGACCTCACATTAAAGTCTTCTTTTTTCCCTTCTGTCCCTTCCATGATCATATATTTGGTTTTGTCTTCATTTAGTTCCAATCCGAATTTCTGTGCTTCTTCGATGATTTTCTCCACAAATCTTCTTAATTCTTTCTCGGTTTTTGCTAGGATCGTTAGATCATCAGCAAATGCCAAGCACTGGTGCTCATTTTTCATGATCGTTTCTTCCATCTTCATGCTGCATTTTCTGATTACAGTTTCTAATACTAAGTTGAATAATGTAGTGGATAAAGGATCTCCCTGTCTCAAGCTTTTTACAACCGTAAATTGATCTGATATGTGACCCTGCCAAGCAATTTCATACGTAGAGTTATTAAGTGTCATTTTAACTATGTAGTCGGATTAGTTTCTTTGGTATACCCAAATGTTCCATTGCTCGATACATTTTGACTCTATCGACTCTATCATATGCTTGTCTAAAATCCACAAACAAAACATGCAGGGGAACTTTACGTTCATAACAAGTCATTTGTATCTCCTTTAATGAGAAAATTTGGTCTACAGTAGATCTGTCCTTTCTAAAGCCGCCCTGATATTCATGCAGGATTCTTTCCGTGTAGCAATTTAGTTTATTTCTCAATATTCTTGCCAAGATTTTGTATACCGTATATAATAAGGCTACACCTCTATAGTTGCCACACTTCAGTTTGTCTCCTTTTTTATGCAGAGGGCATATGCGGGCCTCATACCACTCCGATGGCATTACTTCCTTTTTCCATACTTGCACTAGTAGCTGATATATTTTTCTTTGTAGTTGTTCTCCACCAAACTTGATCATTTCTATGCATATGTCATTTTTACTTTTTACGATTTAATCGATTTCTGTGGCTTTATTGTTTTTGAGTTTTAGGACGGCATTTGACATTTCTATTATTGTTGGGTGTTCACTGTGTAGTTGTTGATGTAGATTTTGTTGAAACCTATGTTGTAACCTCTTTCAATATCGTGTATATCATATATTATATAAATATATATAATATGATATAATAATAATGTACTTATTCTTCTTCTTCAAGTTCCACTCCTATCGGAGATTGGAAATCATTCTGGCAATTATAATTTTGTTGGTTACGCGCCTGAATAGTTCAATTGAACTGCATCCAATCCATTCACGGAGATTGCGTAATCACGAGATTTTACGTCTTCCTCGCTTCTTCTGCCTTTAATTTTATCCTACATATATTCCTTAGTAGTTCGTATTTTTCACCTATCATGATGTGCCCCAAGTATTCCATTTTCCTGATTTTTATGGAATTTAAAACTTCGCATTGTTTTCCTAGTTGTTCGAGAACTTGTTCGTTTGTTTTGCGATCCATCCATGATATTTTCAAAATACGTCGGTAACACCACATTTCAAATGCTTCTAGGTTCTTAATGTTGGATTTTTTAAGTGACCAAGCTTCAATCCCATATAAAAGGGTAACGAAAATATAACATCAAAGCATTCTTATCCGGAGCGATATATTGATATCGCGATTATAAAAAAGTTTTCTCATTCTATTAAAAGTTGGCCGTGCAATTCCAATGCGGCATCTTATTTATTTTGTCTAATCAGTATCTTCTGTGATCCATGCTCCAAGCTATTTGTACAAAGATATTTGTTCAATTTCTGTATTATCTAGTACTAGCTTAACTTTGATGCTTTGTGTTTTTGTAAATACCATGAACTTGGTTTTCTTCAAATTTATTTTTAGTCTATAATATGATATAATCCCTATAAAATGTCTTCCGACGTCCATTTTTCATTCAATTCGGTTGTTCCATTGTTCTTTAAGTTCTTTCGAGCTCATTAAGTTTCTTATTCCTTCCATCCGTGTTTTCTAAGGTAATCATCTCTTCTGGATTCCGGTAGGGGTTCATACAGGTACTTGTTTTAGGAGTCTACTGTCTTTCATTTATTGGACCTGTACCCATTTGAGCTGCTTTCGTTGTATGCCATCCATGACTGTACCTTCTATTCTCATACTTTATTGCATTAAGTTCGACGAGATATCTTTCTTCGATGTCTCTATTAATTGTCGTGTTTCACAACCGTATAAATAAAGCATGCTTTTTACCACAGTTTCATGGGTTGTACTTCTAGAGAGAACATGTCAGCTGTGCCAAAACGAAAAATAATCCTCCTTATTGCTTCCACTGGACTAAGCTTGACCATTTAACTGGGCCCGGGCTACCTCCTTCTAATTCTTTAAACTCCTGATTTGAAATTAATAATACTCATTATTTTGTCTAATTACCTATTTAGTTGTCAAAACAGATACATTGTTACCTAAATATGTGAAAGTGGTTCAATTTAGAAATTATATAGTAAATAATAAATATTTGAAAACTGATGCACATATTCCTCCCGCGATTTGGGCTTCAAGTACTAATTTTATAAATCGCACTTCTACTAATAGACGTAAATCCTTTCATTTTAATTTCATGAATGTTTTTGTTCAACATTAATTCAAAACCGCCCTGAATAGAAGGCCGCCAGCTCGTTTATTGTATAGACCCAAGACTTTACACAATAGGGGGTTGTATAAGGTAGGTATAAAGCTAACCTCTAGTACAAGATGACGTTTAGAATATTCTTAGTGAATGGATTTTGTTTTCGTAAAGAAAGATATTTTTAAAAATGGATATCTCTCTGAATTTTACCGTTACAATTTTCGAGGATAAGCCTTAATAATTAACTACATTAGAATCTGTCCACTAGGTATTCGCTATTTTTCAATTCAGAAAGGAGTCTGACGTAGTTCACAAACTACTTGTTAGGGGGCGGCAATATTTCTTGAAAAAAGAGAAGCGAACGTGCCAAATAAAGGACAAGTTGTGGTCGCGGCTTAAAACTACTATATATGTTTGAAAATAAAGTGGATATAACTTGTTACCAATTTGACACAGTATGCAGTAAAGGGTTAAAGAAAATATGTATTATAATTGCCGAAATTCGGAATTGTATAATCAAATAAAACAATAATTATTATTTTACACAGCTCTTTTAATATGAACATTCAAAGTTTTAGTGAAAGTTTACATTAAATAAGCAAAGAGAAAAATTAACAAGAATAAACATCAAAATAAATAACAAAAAGTTACGTATATACATTAAGTTTTAATTTGTTAAATATAAGCTTTACAAAATATAAAATGTGATTTTTTAAGTACGTTGAAATATCTGTTACTGAATACTTTGTAGACAGTCGCGTATCTGCGTCCAGGTTTGAAGACCCTAAAAAATAATAAATTTTCACAATAACTATACTTTAAAACTAAACTAAAAACAAATTGTCATGTATGGTAGAAAATAAAATAAAAAGTCAAAATATTTGTGGTGATATGAAGAGATTCGCTAACACAAGCGTTAAACTATTTTTGGCTTCCAAAGGACTTCCCACTAAGAGTGAAGATCTACGAAAAATCCTTTATGGAATTTATCGATGCTTATGGAATTGTTACAACTGAGGTGGAAGCTGATCTAGCTGCTTTTAGGTCCTTTCTCACTTCGGAAAGAATTATTCACTGGCAAAAATCAAGAGAAAGTCACCGAAACTACTATTCCATTGTCTCTCCAAAACGAAATTTTTAAATAATATGATATGTTCTGTGGGACTAGAAACCTCAAATTATATTAGTGATGACAACTTTAGCATGGATCGGATTAATATTCGTTTTATAAGATATAACACTGATGAATTATTCTCTCGATAATTCTCTCGATTACCGAGCACTCGCTTGAAGTCCACGAGCCTTTTTTCTAGAAAAATTAACCACAATTGCTAGGTATGATCTTCAAGTTCAGCTCATGGTGGCACCCTAATTCTTTCTACGAATTATAATTTCTCTCCTATAACAAAATATGAGTTTCTGTTAAATGAAGCCTTTTTTGAGTTTTCATTGGTTTATAACAAGAATTTATATATTATTTGCATTTATAGATCACCTAATTCTTCCACGGAACTATTTTTACAGAACTTGCTAAATTTGTTAGACGACCTGCAAAATAAAAGCAGAAAAATTCTATGCGGTGACTTGAATATTAATTGCGCTGTTGCTTGTGCTACCCAATTATCCTTGGTCAGTATATTCGAATCGTATCGTTTCACAATACACGTTAATTCTTCTACAATTATTAATGCAGGACTAACTGATCATGAACCAATATATACCAATATATATTATATATATATATATATATATATATATATATATATATATATATATATATATATTATATATATATATATATATATATATATATATATATATATATACAGTGTAGGAAAAATTTAATGGTCGGTATGGACCTTACGTGAGATGGAGTGAGAAACAGCTGTTTAGAAAGAGAGAGGTATATTAGGTCCGCCCTTTATATCGCCAAACATGCATGCCTGGAAAGGGGAAGTTCAACGTTGCCACAAACTTATTGGATTTATTTGACCTGTTGTTTTTTTTTGCATTTGAACAATGTTCTAAGATAATCCAATTTGGGCGAAATTGATTTAAATGGCAGCTTACTGTTTTTTTTTTATTGGGAATATGCCACAAGTTTACTTTACAATAAGTGTAATATAACATTTTGATTTCCACTTTGGAAATCGTTTTATATAAATAAAATTTATTAATGTTTCGTATTTTAAGTACGATTTCCGAATAAAAAATCTAAACATCAAAATAAGCTTATTTAAAGTCACATTGTGCCTTATTCCCAATATGAAATAATAAACTGCATACAATAACACCACATTAAAAAATATTCATACACAATAATTTATTTGGCAACGTCGTACGTTTGGTCAGAACACCGAGTAACGGGTAGTAGAGGTGGGTCGTGGTAATTTTATCGTTAAGAGCGTAGGCATAAAATTTCGGATTAATATTTTTTAAATGTATTCATTTTTTTCGAATCCTGATAAAACTAATAAATATTCTTGAAAAATTTAAACGCAGAATGAACCAATACATTATTACCGAGGGCCAAAAGTCCCTGAAAACTTCTATAATGTTTATTTTAATAAGTTATAAGGGCAAAAAAAAAGTTAGTGTGATTTTTAATTTCAAATATCTCATTCAAAAAACTTTTTGTTTATTCTAAGGGACTTTCGGCCCTCGGTAATAATGTAATCTTTTATTCTGCATTTAAATTTTTCAAAAATATTTGTTAGTTTTCTCAGGATTCCAAAAAAAAACAATACAAATAGTAAATCGTACTTACATTTACATTACACGTTATTATTAAATCGCGAATAGTCTAAATTGACATTAAAAAACATAAGTTTTTCTACTATACCTACTTCTTATTAACCGTCTTCTTTTTTATTTCAAATTAAACCAGATTTTGAACATGTGTTCACATTTACAATACTGTATGAATATAGGGTTAAGTTAGGATATACATGGCGATAGTTTTTCCACCGTTGTAATGGACTCTCGATACAGGTGTACGTGTAGATGAGTCATCTCCAATTAATTGATCAAATATACACCATGGATTTAAGTCATCTTTATTGGTTTCTTTTTCTTGTACTGGTTGATTTTCAATAGTACAATCTTCTTGTTCGTTAATTATAGAAGTATCAAGCTTCTTAACTTTTTCTTTTATTTTTTTATCATCATTTTTATCAGAAAAACCCTGCACTTTAAATGGTAAATCCATAAATGTACATAATGACAATATGCCACTCTGTTCTATCCCTTTAAATATTTTTGCTAAACCCGATATTAGTAATTGTACTACGTCGGATACTATGGATGTAAGGTTACCGTTTGCTAAAATTTTCTTGCAAGATTCTTGCAGGCCGCGTACCATAACAATCACTGAACTACCCTTCAAGTATTTTTGGTCACTCATTGTACTTGTTATTTCTTTAAACGGCCGTAAAATTTGGGAAAGCTGAGAACAAATAATCCAGTGTTTTTTATTTAGATTTGGTCTAAGTCTAAGTCTGTATTATTTAATACCGATGTGGAACGGAAATACACGCCAGTACACCGAAAATATCAAAATACAAAGAGGAGTCCGCCAGGGTTACGTGCTGTCCCCACTACTTTTCAATGTCTACAGTGATCGGTATTTTAAGAAGCGCTCTCAGACTCAATAGAAGGTATATCTATCAATAGTAATAATTACAGTAATAATTACGGATAACAACAATGATTTACAGAACCTAATGCAACGCCTTAATGAACGCTGTCATGAGTACGGACTGAAGATAAATTTAAAGAAAACTAAATGCATGATCATGACTAATCTGCACAAATATCCAATTGACTATTGAAGATACTGCAATTGAGAGTGTTAATAACTATAAATACTTAGGAACATGGATAACATCAGATGTAGACCAAACCAAAGAAATTAAGACAGGTATTGAAACAGCACGTACATCATTTATTAAACTTAAAAAGTTTCTTTGTTGTCGGGATATAAGGTTAGAACTACGCCTGAGAATGCTTCGATGTTACGTGTTCTCTACTCTTCTTTATGGTCTGAAAGCTTGGACACTAAAACAAGTTCATCTGAATAAGTTGGCCGCCTTTGAATTTTGGTGTTACAGAAGAATCCTACGAATATCATGGATTCAAAAAATGTCAAACATTAAAGTAACTAGAAGGATAGGAAATGAGGCAGAAATAATATTAACTATTAAAAGACGAAAACTTGAGTACTTGGGACATGTGATGAGAGGGCAAAAATACGCATTATTACAACTTATTATGCAGGGCAAAATCCGAGAAAAGCGAAATGTGGGAAGACGAAGAATATCCTGGCTTAAGAACTTAAGGGAATGGTTTGAATGCAGTAGTGCAGACCTTTTTAGAGCGGCAGTCAACAGAGTCGGCATAGCCATGATGATTTCCAACCTTCGATAGAAGATGGAACTTAAAGAAGAAGAAGTGAAACGGATTGCCTCTTCTAACTCAGTCATTTTTTTTAACCTGTAATAGGTGAAGTTCTAACTAGTTTCCACGTCTTGGATTGGCCGTTTGGGAACTTTGTTATGTTGTAATTAATACTTTAAAAGCCTTTCTGAAGATAAGGTACTTTTTTTTAACGTTTTTTGCAGAATTGTCGAAAAAAGGACTTTTTATTTTATCTATTATCAAATCAGTTTTGACATAACATTCCTGAAGTAATGAATCTAACAGTTTTTCTAGTTAGCGGTTTATATCCAGGAATCCACCCTGCAAACTTTTTAAAAGCTGGTTCTTCACCTATAGAAAACGGATGAAACGAGTCTTTGCATAAGTTTAGTAAATCAATAAGTTTAGTCAAGAAAAAGAAACTGATAAAGATGACTTAAGTCCATTGTGTATTTTTGATGAATTAATTGGACATGACTCATCTAAACATACAACTGTATCGAGAGATATACAAGAAGTCGACATGTATTTGTCTGATAATATATTACCCACAATAAATTTCGAACGGAGATTGGAACTGTCCATTACCGTGGTGGAAAAACCATCGCCATGTATATCCTAACTTAGCCACTATATTCATAAAATATTGTAGAATTGTAACAAAATATTTTCCTTGTGAACACATGTTTAAAATCTGGTTTAATTTTAAATAAAAGAAGAACACTGTTAACAAGAAAAGTAGAAAAACTTGTTTTTAAATGTCAATTTAGACGATTCGCGATTTAATAATAACGTGTAATGTAAATGTAAGTACGATTTAATGTAAATGTAAGTACTATTTGTATTGTTTAATTTATTTTTCAAGTTATAATAAATATATCCTTCGTTAGGTTCTTTCACTTCAATACTTATACACATAAACGATAATAGCCAATATGTTTGTGTACTCGCTAATTTGAATCAACTAGTTACAGTTTACGAAAAACGGTTCCGATAAAAAATTTAAAAAACGGGAGGACCCACCTCTAGTTTTTTAGGTATATTAGGATCGGAACCAGAGAATATGTAAAATATCTCTGATCGGAACTATTCGTCTCACTAATGGCCAATAGGTGTTAAACTTTATATATATACATATATATATATATATATATATATATATATATATATATATATATATATATATATATATATATATAAAGTTTAACAGTCTTAACAAACGATCTTCGAAATAAAACTAACACAGCTCAAACATTTTCTCTTCCAAACTCTGAAAATTTAAATGAATACTTCGTTAACGTAAGTATAAATATAACATCAACTATTTTGCCACAACAAGATAATATTTCCTATCTCCCCAATTCAGTAACGATCTCGAATTCATTCTTTAGAAGACCAGTTGATAAATCTGAACTGATCCAAACAATTAGTAGTATCAAAAGCAAATCTTCCTATAGTACTGATGGACTATCCTTAAAAATTTTCTTTAGTCTCCCAAAAAATGTGTTGGAAGTCCTGGTCTCACTAATTAATGATTCCTTTGAAAAAGGTATATTTCCAGAGTGCCTAAAGACAGCTATTATTATTCCTCTTCATAAGAGTGGTGAAAAATCTAATTTCTGCAACTATAGACCTATTACCTTAATAACGGTTCTATCCAAAATTATTGAGAAACTTATAAAAGCCCGACTTATGTTCTTTCTTGTTGCAACCAACATTTTATCACAAAGTCAGTTCGGCTTTTTATCTAGTAAATGTACCAGCGATGTTATATTTTCTGTACTACATGAGGTCTATTAAGCACTAAACAATAATCTTTACACTGCCACTGTTTTTTGTGACATGCCAAAGGTTTTGATTGTGTAAATCACGACATGTTGATAAAAAAAACTAAATTTCTACGAAATTCGGGGTATTTCTTTGAACTGTTTCCAATCTTACTTGAGAAATAGGAAACAACTACTTAGAGCAAATGATACTGAATCTAGTCAGTACAATAATACATTGCAGCAGCTACTTCAAAAATCGCGGGATTTTTACTCTTCCTTCTTTGTTTACATGTTCTTCCAGTAAGACCTAAATCATGACTACTCCTCCAGAAATTAAATCTTTGATGTGTATTTACCGATCCCGTCCACTGAGTTAGTAAAGAAATCTATTAGAATTACATATCGTCTAGTGAGAACATTAGTGACGAAACTCAAAAATTCTCGGTTTTGACTTATCTACTTCAAAGAATTCTATATGTAGCATGCAACTAGCTGCATTAATGGCGAACCTCTAGTTCTTGGCAAACTGCTCGGTGGTGGAAATTGTTTGTAATGCATGTTGTTTTTATGTTCCCATTCTAAAGCAATACTGACGAATCTTGCAGTATGTCTCTGACGGTGTATCTGATAACGTGTTGTAAAGTTCAGCATTAGTGACGAAAACCGAGTAACAATATTATTTCAGTAAGTTGAATAACTTGTTTCATAAAATTACCGATGTAAATCTAGTTATGTCAGTAATGACTTAAAAACCAAACGCAATTGTTTTCATAAAATTACCGATGTAAATCTAGTTATGTCAGAAATTACCTAAAAACCAAATGCAAACGTATCTAGATTTTGTTTTTTAGTGATGAAAATAGCTTACCAATTTAGTTAGTAGGTTTAGGTAACTATAATTATAATTTTCTATAGAATTTAAAGCGTGCTACTATTGTATGCGTTCTATCGTCGCGTTTCTACTATAGCTTACGGTCAACCAAGGGAAGCGGTATATAAGATCAATGCAGACAAAAACAAAATGAATAAAGCGTATAGATCGTAAGAGTTATTATGTTAATTTTAAAAAGTAACACTTCTTCTTCTTGTTTTTATATAGACATGACTCTGTCTGTTTTTCAATGTGCCTCTAGTAAGTTGTCATTCCATCGTTTTCGTGGCCTTCCTACTATTGGGGAACCGTCTCTTACCGTCTTTACTACTTTATTTGTTGTCATTCGACTTATATGATCGTTCCATTCTAGTATTCTATTTATTATCCAGTTTTTGATATTCTCCACCTTGGATCTATGTCGTATAGCTGTACTTCTAGCTCTGTTCCATAGTGTCTTATCATCAAGTTTTCTAAGTGTTTTCATCTCTGCTGTTTCTAACATCCCTTTTGTCCTCTCTGTGTCAGGTCTTGTTTCTGCCGCGTACGTCATTATTGGTCTGATGACTGTTTTGCAATTTATTTAAATGTTGCAATGGATTTTGTATCTCATCTTGTATTTTGTTATACAGTAAAACCTCCTTTAACCGAAATCCTTTTAACCGAAACATCGTTTAACCGAAACGGCGGACAGTTTCGATAATTTCGACAATAAAAAGTACATTTTTATCGCAAAACGTAAACAATTCCATTAATTTCACTCACTGATTGATGCCTATGTGTGTTGGGATATCATAAAAAACCAAGAGCTCTAAAAGATATTTCCGAAAAAGTGCTTCCAGTTTTTTATAGAAGTCAAAAAAGCTCATGGATGTCGACCACTTTATTTTCAGAATGGTTGGAAAATTAATTCGTCCCAAGTGTAAAATCCTTTTTCAAATCAAAAATCCTTCCCATCAAAGCATTGTTGATTCTTGACAATACGCCAACTAACCCTTAAAATCTACAAAATGGTGACAATTGTCAGATTTTTGCCACCGAATGTCACAAGCTTAATTCAGCCGTTAGACCAGGGAGTAATAGAAACATTCAAGAGAAATTATAGAGGAGCATTCTTGAGACATCTGTTATTACAGGAGACGAATGAATGCAAAAGTTTTCACGAAATTCTCAAATCTCTAATAATGAAACATGTTGTTTATTGGTATGCTGAGTCGTGGGCCAAGATGAAATCTTCAACTTTGCAAAAATGCTGAAACAAACTTTTTGATAGGATTTTGATTGAAGATTCTAAAGAATAAAATGGTAAAGGAACGACAGAAGAAATTAAACCTTTAATAAAACATTTGCCGGGATGTGACGAAATTAACCAAGAAAAGATACGTCAGTGGTTAGCAGCCGATGACTCAGAAAGTGAATTCATCGACCAGGACATCATTGATATCGTTCTTCATCCAGACAACCTGAGCGTATCAGACGACGAAGATGACGATCCGAATGCCAGACAACAATCAGCACGAGACCGCCGACGAGATTTTCAATGCCTTAGAGATATTTTATACAGTAGGCCTAATTAGGTAGGGACACGACTAGGTTCTTAATTTTTGTTGTCATTGCATAAAATTTTGTCCTTTTCAGATTGCTTTACGTTTCGTCGAACAATCAAATGAGGCAAACTCGTGGCGTTCTGCAAATGAACGGTGAAGAGATGTAGCTGCAAAATATCGTTGTCAAACAAAAACTCAAAAAAATAGATTAAAAAAAAAAGCATGTTAAACTTGTGCATTTTCCTTTATTTTATTATTTTATTCTGTATTTACTTATTAGAAAACATTACGAAATCACCTCACCTATCACCTAGTATTTTTTAATATCTATACTTTGACCAAGTATACTATAAAAAACAATGTTATTTTTAACCGAAATTCTTGTTATACGAAACAGCCTTCCCCCCAATTATTTCGGTTAACGGAGGTTTTACTGTATTGACGATTTATATAATTTCAAATTGTTAAGTATTGTTATTTTTGTGACTTTTTGTAAGATTTTTCCATAAAATTGTACAATTTTCAGTGACAATAAAGCATATTTCTATTCTATTCGAATTGACAAATGCCATCTGTCATACTTGCCCACATGTCTCACTTGTTCACCTGTCTCACCTAGCGATACATCAAAGGATGCGGCTTATTCCCGCGGTCTTCAAAATATTCCCACTCTACAGCGACGCAACCTCTGTACAATTATTATGAAAATTTGTTGCTGCTCAACTATGGATTTTCATCAAAATAGTTTCGAAACACAATTCAGATTTCGCTTTATCTGAACCTTCTAAAAATTGCAAGGTATTACAGACGTTGATAAATATGTTAAAAGAGGCATGGGGAATCTAAAATTTGCATTCCACAACATGTCTCTTCAACTAAGCAGAAATCCTTAGCGAATTGGTTTCTTATACTCATACAGAGTAGATCCGAATAAAATGAAAAAGACAGCAAATATTTTATTTCACGCAAACAGCGTCTATGTATCTGTTGATAGGTATTTCGACCTAATAGGTCTCATCAGAACAGTTATTCATAGGCTTTCTCAACGTGAAAAATCAATATATTCTGTGTTTTAAGAAGCAACACTAAAATGGCTTCGATATGGACGCAATAGCGACATCTGATAATAAATCCGTAAAATAGTTTCGAAACACAATTCAGATTTCGCTTTATCTGAACCTGCTACAAATTGCAAGGTATTACAGACGTTGATAAAGATGTTAAAAAAGGAATGGGGAATCTAAAATTTGCATTCCACGACATGTCTCTTCAACTAAGCAGAAATCCTTAGCGAATTGGTTTCTTGTACTCATACAGAGTAGATCCGAATAAAATGAAAATGACTGAATAACTGTTCTGATGAGACCTATTAGGTCAAAATACGTATCAACAGATACATAGACGATGTTTGCTTGAAATCAAATATTTGCTGTCTTTTTCATTTTATGGATTTTAAATTTGCGAATATTGTTTACTATAAGAAATGCTAAAAATTAGTTTAATGTACGTCTCGAATTTTGATATCTAGCCTAACTAACAAAACGCCCCTTTTTGTCCAGTCTGAAAAATAACTGCTCGAAATCCTCAAAATAATTTACTTAATTTTATGGAGTTTTAGGTACACAAGAATCAAAATTCAGTTCAAGAATCGGCATTACAAATTATTAATGCTGAAAATCAATTATATTCAATAGTTTACTTGAAAATCATTACTACTTTGCTTACCTTCCTAGAAACTTTTAGTTGAAGAAATGCATAATTGCTGAGAGTATCTTTTAGATCCATTACTTTTTGGTTCTGGAATAATTCAATATCACTTAGAGATTTTTGGTTAAAATCACTAAAAAAAATATAAATATTTAAACAAAATAATTATTATAAAAAAAATCATATTTTAAAGAAAAAATAATCGCAAAAATATGGAAAAAAACTATAAAATTGTAAATTCGATCTAGAAAGATTTTTATTTTTTTTATATTTTTTCCAAACATTAAGGTTATTTGAGACATAAGCGAAAATTTGTGTTATTATTTTGTATATATTATTTTGTTTACTTCCATGACCGCCTTTAACAATTAGTACAGAGTTTATTAGTCAATGGAAACATGGGCATTAATACACAAAAATTACAAATGTATTTCTAAAAAAATTTACAGTGAAGTAAAGAATTCTAATGTAATTGGTATATTTGTTTAATAAAAGACATTAAAATTTCAAAATCCAAACGGAATACAATTGTTCAAAACGTTTTCGGTGTTATCAGACCATCATCAGTAGAGAGCGGAATAGACAGTTTTATAGATAGTAGATCAGTAGATAGCGAAAAGATGCATATATTGCATATTTTTGCTCATTTTAAACAAGATTGCCTATTTAAGCTAAACACGATGTATTTTGTTTATTTTAAAAATAAATTATATAAAAGTTTAAAACTTTCTTTTGTTAGTTGGAATTTTATAACTATTTATTCATCTGGACTTTCGCATTCTGTGGGTTGGATAACTATGGGTTTTCCACGAAAAATATTGTTTTATTAGCGTAGCAAGTCGTAGGTAATTACCTGCTTTTAAGGCTTATCCTCGATAATTGTAACGGTAAAATTCAGAGAGATGTCTATTTCAAAAATATCTTTCTTTACAAAAACAAAATCCATTCACGAAGAATATTCTAAACGTCATCTTGTACTAGAGGTAAGCTTTATACCTACCTTATACAACCCCCTATTGTGTAAAGTCTTGGGTCTATACAATAAACGACTGGGCGGCCTTCTATTCAGTGTGGTTTTGAAATAATGTTGAATAAAAACATTCATGAAATTAAAATGAAAGAATTTACGTCTATTAGTAGAAGTGCGATTTATAAAATTAGTACTTGAAGCATAAATCGCGGGAGGAATATGTGCATCAGTTTTCAAATATTTATTATTTACTATATAATTTCTAAATTGAACCACTTTCACTTCTTTAGTTAACAATGTATCTGTTTTGACAACTAAATAGGTAATTAGACAAAATAATTATTAATTTCAAAACAGGAGTTTAAAGAATTAGAAAGAGGTAGCCCGGGCCCAGTTAAATGGTCAAGCTTATTCCAGTGGAAGCAATAAGGAGGATTATCTTTCGTTTTGGCACAGCTGACATGCTCTCTCTAGTACTACAACCCATGAAACTGTGGTAAAAAGCATGCTTTATTTATACGGTTGTGAAACACGACGATTAACAGAGACAGATTAATATCGAAGATATCTCGTCGAACTTAATGCAATAAAGTATGAGAATAGAAGGTACAGTCATGGATGGCATACAACGAAAGCAGCTCAAATGGGTACAGGTCCAATAAATGAAAGACAAGAGACTCCTAAAACAAGTACCTGTATGAACACCTACCGTAATCCAGAAGAGAGGATTACCTTAGAAAACACGGATGGAAGGAATAAGAAACTTAATGAGCTCGAAAGAACTTAAAGAACAATGGAACAACCGAATTGAATGAAAAATGAACGTCGGAAGACATTTTGTAAGGATTATATCATATTATAGGTACATTTTTTGGACTAAAAATAAATTTGAAGAAAACCAAGTTCATGGTATTTACAAAAGCATCAAAGTTAAGCTAGTACTAGATAATACAGAAATTGAACAAATATCTTTGTACAAATACCTTGGAGCATGGATCACAGAAGATACTGATTAGACAAAAGAAATAAGATGCCGCATTGGAATTGCACGGTCAACTTTTAATAGAACGAGAAAACTTTTTTGTAATCGAGATATCAATATATCGCTCCGGATAAGAATGCTTTGATGTTATATTTTCTTTACCCTTTTATATGGGATTCAAGCTTGGTCACGGATCGCAAAACAACCGAACAAGTTCTCGAACAACTAGGAAAACAATGCGAAGTTTTAAATTCCATAAAAATCAGGAAATTATAATACTTGGGGCACATCATACATCACACATCAAGACGTAAAATCTAGTGGTTACGTAATCTCCGTGAATGGTTTGGATGCAATTCAACTGAACTATTCAGGCGCATATCCAACAAAATGATAATTGCCAGAATGATTTCCAATCTCCGATAGGAGTGGAACTTGAAGAAGAAGAATAAGTACATTAGTATATATATATATATATATATATATATATATATATATATATATATATATATATATATATATATAATATATGATATAAACGATATTGAAAGAGGTTACAACATAGACAATCAACAAAATCTACATCGACAACTACACAGTGAACACCCAACAATAATAGAAGTGTCAAATGCCGTCCTAAAACTCAAAGAAAATAAAGCCACAGGAATCGATTAAATCTGTTGGAAAATATATAAAAAAAAGGTGATGATCAGCTTTTTGCAGTAACCCATAAACTAATAGTACTTATATGGCAAAATGAATTTGTTCCAGAAGAGTGGCTAAATGAAATAATATACGTTGCATAAAAAGGACGATTAACTGGATTGTAAGAACTATAGAGGCATTACTCTGTTAGCATCTTCACCTGTTAGCACTTGAGACTGGGAGATCCTTTATCCACTACATTATTCAAATTAGTATTAGAAACTGTAATCAGAAAATGCAGCATGAAGATGGAAGAAACGATCATGAAAAATGAGCACCAGTGCTTGGCATTTGCTGATGATCTAACGATCCTAGCAAAAACCGAGTAAGAATTAAGAAGAGTTGTGAAGAAAATCATCGAAGAAGCACATAAATTTGGATTGGAACTAAATGAAGACAAAACTAAATATATGATCATAGAAGGAACAGAAGGGAAAAAATAAGACTTTAGTATGAGGTCAGTAAGTGGTAAAAGCTATAGTTTTAAAAGGGTGGACAAATTTGAATACCTAGGTGTAGTTTTCGATGAAAATGGAAAAGATAAATGGGAGCTCGTAGCCAGAATAGCAAAAGGGAATAAAAAATTAGGTGGTTTAAGAGCCCTACTGAACTCAAAATACGTTTCTAGACAAGGTAAACTCAGAATATATAAAACAGTAATTCGACCCACAGAAACATATGCCGGTGAGCCTGGACATTAAATAAGAAGGAAGAGGATACTCTGGAAAGATGGGAAAGGAAAATATTGAGATGCATATTCAGAGGACGAAAGGCAGAAGATGGTTGGGAAAGAAGAACCAACAATGAATTAATGGCTTTATACAAAGAACCTACTATTACCAAGTTCGTCAAGGCACAAAGAATCAGATGGTTGGGACATGTGGAAAGAATGGCAGCAAACAGAATTCCTAAACTAGTAATAACCAGAAAATTAATCGACCCTAAAAGAAGAGGTAGACCCAGAACGAGGTGGATTAGTAAAGCGGAGGAAGACCTTAAACACGTGAAGGTGAGGGAATGGAAAAAAAAGCACAAAATAGAAGCGAATGGAAAAATATTGTACACCAGGTCCTTCAAAGTAGTTAAGAATGTTATATATACATATTTACGTTAAAGTTTTGTTTAAAATAATTGTAATTAGTTAATATTAGAATTATGTTGTAAAAAAAATGCTTTAGGCCTTAACGGCCTATTGTGGTAAAAATAAATAAATAAATAATAGAGTGCAAAAATCGAAAGAATCGCGTTTTTTGCATTAATTGTTAGTCATTAAAAAACGGCTCCGAACTTTACACAGGAAATAGGCAGGTTTTCTTCTTATAGGTCTACAATAACTAAAAAAGTTGTCAGCTACCTGGATTATTAAGTGTCACGAGAAAATCCTTAGCCTGGACTAATATGGCTGGACAAGCAAGTGAAGAAACAAACTTCATATATTATGTAAACTTTACTAACAAAAACGTTGAAAATAAATATTCCTATAAATATAAATAATCAAATTCCATATTCAAATACAGCAAAATATTTGGGTATTGTCCAATAAATATAAATAATCAAATTCCGTATTCAAATACTGCAAAATATTTGAGTATTACTCTAAGCTTTTATGTAAAGAAGAAAAGAAAATAATAATTCTGATTGAAATACAAAAAAATGTACTGGCTGATTGACCAAAATTCTACGCTGTTTCTACATAATAAATTATTATATAAGCAAATACTGAAACAATAGTATTATTATAAAAACAGTATAAACATTTAGAAGGAAAATGTTACAAATTAACAGAAAATATTTCTATTCATATAAAAATTTCATCAAATTATAGGTACTTATTATAGGTACTGCTTATTTATATAAAATTTCCTCAATCGGAACATAAACTTCTTCGTGAACTACCCATTTTAAAAACAATTAACACACTGGTTTGTCAAAAGTCGAAATAAACCCTAATAATGTTATTCAACATTATTTATGACCCACCTTCGAGAGGGTATTATACTTCTTACCTAACCAACCTAACCGTGCCGACGAGAATCCAGAAACTATCGACAAGGACAGCCTGTACTGGTCGAGAGAGAAAGTTACATTTAGCAAAATTTGAGATTTTAAAAAAAGTTTATACCAAATAGCTGCTTTGTGTTACACTTTATGTTAAAAATAAAAACAGATTCGGAAAGTGGGTCAAATTCTGTAGTGCCCTATTTCAAAAAAAAATTTTTTACGTTTATTTTAACCAAAAATATTTGAAAAAAAAATATTGTTTAAACAATTTATTAATTTACAACTAAATAGTGCACTAGAACTTTTTAAGACCTTTCATATAAAAAAAGAATCATCTCAATATCTGCCATAGTTTTTGCGTTATTTGATATAAACTTTTACATTGGAACTTAGGTATGCCCAGAAACGCAAGGAACGGCCTTAAGAGCCTAATTATTTTGTCAGTTTCCGACAAAATTTGTTTAAAGTAAACATTGTATTTAAGTGTGTTTGATATGTTTGGTATATATTAAATTTAAATATGTCTACCATCCAAAAAAGTACTTGGATAATGTTTTCCTGAGTTAAATTATCAACTCCTATTGCTACATCACCTGTCCAGTTCAATTGACGAAGTTGTCCTCTTTTGATTAGGGAAAATGTATGTTCCCTTAAAGTGATATCTCATAACATCGACCTTGTGTCATCACAATTTTATATAACATGATTTTCATGTAATCTAAAGGTCTTTATACCTAGATTGGTAGCCAGTTTCAAGATTTTTCAGTGATGATGGTCAAACTGGACCGAAAACGTTTTAAAATATTTTTAATCCTTTTAGATAAATTTTAAATATTCTAATAATAAAATATATTATAATACAAAAGTATATTGATTGCTCCTTACCTCAAACAATCTTTGGCATTATTCATGGTTGCAACCCCCTCTTGTATCTGCTGGTCTAACAAAGTTACTTTATATTCTCTAACTTCTTCGGTATCGACGGCTCCAAACAATTTTGACATCAAACCGATTTTACCCTGTTGAACTCTAACACGTTCGACATTTTTATTTGCTACGGAATCTTCGGCGTTCTCTAGTTGAAGCTGTAATAACTCGTGATTCTTGCATACGTTTTGGAGGGCATATGCGAAAAATAGGTACTCTTTTAATTGGTCCGCTAACAGTTCTTCGTCTTCGAGGTTTGAATCTATACTAAAATAGGAAAACAGAGATGAATTGGTTTTACACCTTTCAACATACAAAAATATATATATATATATATATATATATATATATATATATATATATATATATATGTTCTAATCAGAATAAAAAAATGTTGGATTGTTATGAAGAAGTTGAAGAATTTTTAAAGTTTATTTATCACACTGTAGTAGAAGAAAATCTCGTCGATATAAATTTTGAATTTTAAAATTTCATAAATGTCATTAGTGTCCAAATGTCATAATTTAGTGGAGTAAACTTGCCTGCGGTTGGACCAATTACAAGCAAGCATTATGGCGCAATAATGTTACAATGGAAGCCTGTAGAAGGCGAAAAAAAGGAAGGCCCAGAACGAGATGGTTGGATGACGTGGAAGACGACCTGAAAACAATGAACATAAGACAATGGAGAAGAAGAGCACAAGAGAAATCTGAATGGAAGGACATATCCAGACAGGCAAAGACCCAATCAGAATGCCCACTCTCAGATGCCGCCTTTGAAGTGTGTCAGCACGCGATCGTCATATTTTTTAACGGAAACACAGACTCCGATTGAGAAATTCTTGACAAGTTACGACAGAACCATAATTTAAATTTTTAGAGATTAATAATTTGGTAAATTCGAAATAATTTAATATACATATTCTTTAACTAAAAGTACGACATAAAATATTGCATATTATGTCTATGGTTGCCGTAAATCAATTAAACTGGGTTAATTTTTCTATGCACACCAGAAAAAATTTCACTGAACACCACTAGTTCCGTTTAAAACATGGCTGATTCCGTCTGCGCGAATGAGATGCGCGTACTTATCTTGACAAGCAGAGCATTCTGATTGTTTTATTATTATGTACCATAGTGAACAATAAATAGTACTTTGTAAACAATACATAATATTGTTTACAAAGTAATAAAGTTGATGAAATGTACTCAGTTCATGAATAATCGCAATGATGTATTTAATCAATAGTGCGAGCACTGTTAGATCATTATTTAACTTAAGATATAATAATACACTCCAATTCAATTCCAGGTTATAAAACAATTCATTAATTTCCATATAGTTTTACAGTGATCCTTCCTAAAAATAATTTATGATAATTTCTAAACATAAAACTATAACAAATGTTCAAACAATAAGTCATTTTGTACTAAGCAGTATTCCACTCGATTGTAAAATTCTCGTCCAACATTAGCCAAAACGCGTGGCGTTATTTTTGCACACTCTTCAATAATTCGTATTTTTAATGCTTCAATATTTGTAAATTTTTGGTCAGAATAGATTTTTGATTTTAGATGCCCCCAGATAAAATAATCGTTTGGAGCTAGATCTCCCGATCTCGGGAGCCACTTAATATTACAGTCAGGTACAATCAAACAGTTATTAAAGCTGCTTTTAAGGATTTCCTTAACCTCCCAATTATTGTGCGCAGGGCATCTATCCATTTGAAACCAAATTGTTCTTCATCTGGAGCTATTTCTGCAAGTCTGTAAAATCTCTTCTTGTAGCAAGTCTAAAACTTTTTTGAATTTAAATTTTGCTCATAGAAAAATGGTCCAATAATATTGTGTCGTAAATATTCCTAACTAGACATTTATTTTGAGTACGTTTTGGATCGACGATATTGGGTATGGCTTTCAATAATATCCTCAGGCTTTCTTGTCGACAAAATGCTATAATTTTGAACATTTGGTTTATTATTTATTCATTGTTAAATATTATTTATTCATTGGTTCTTGATGACATTGAAATTTATATGAACAGAATTTATTCCTTTTCAACATTTTTAAGGTCGTGGAATTATGAATATTAAACTGGTCTGCAATGGTCCGAGAACTTATTCTAGGATTTTCTGCAACTGCTGTTAATAAATTTATTTAATTTTGATCTTCTAAATTTCTTGATACCTCAGCAATATTGTTTGTGCAGGTACAATTAGAAATCACGGTCTCAGTATTTTCAAAATTTTGTAAAATCCTTTGAATTGTTGAATGACTTGAAATTGGTCTATTAGGATATCTTACGCTAAATAAAGATCCGACAATTCGCGCACTATTGCCCGAATAAACCATTTTTATTATTGCTACTTTCTCCTCAACTGAATACATTTTTTAATCAACTATATTGTTTTTTAAACAATAAATCACAAAATAAAAATTTTAGTAATTCAAATATTCTCAAATATCGGAAACATCAATATGACCAAACGCAACATGCCATAAACATTCTTGTACCACGTGTGACCTGACTTTAAGGGGTGATCTGAAAAATGTATTATATTCTGCAAAATTTTGGAATACGTTTAATTCGTAGAACAGTTTTAACATTGGTTTTCGATGCATATTTGAGTCCTCTACAAATAGTTTTTAGTTTTTACAATTTAGAATTTCTCATAGAGTTTCCTATGGCCCGTTCGACGATTCACCTCCCTATATACCTTTTAATATAAGAATTTTCTCTTATTATAAGAGATTTCTTAAAGTAAGAACTCTTCGAACTATTATAATACTTTATATTGCCAGGAGCCTCTGTTGACAGCAGAATTAAGATAAATCTCTGGTCTGTGGAATTTTGTGCCGCAATCTCAAATAGTAAATGATAATAAAAGATGGGACCGAAACACCTTCGTTCCTCTTCCAGAGCGATGGCTGAAGATCATTTAAATCACTAATATAACGGTGTAAAAGCCAACCGAACAAATCTGTCACCGCAGGGACACAAGGGTCTTGGTATGCATTAATCTCCTATCTATTCTGTGTGTGATCTACAGAGTGCTTTAACGAGCGAAATCGAAATATCATCTCCGCTAATTTCATTTTACGTTAAGTCTCTACTGTATATTACATTAGTAGCAAATAAAACGCAATTTTAGAGGTACAGAAGCCCAGTCAAAAGAATCTAGCAGAGAGCATAGCCCCGGCAGAGGGCTCCTATGGTGCAGTGGAGCCTGTATAGGAGCCCCTGCAAGAATGTCTTGCCTGACCTGAAAATTCCCAATTATACACGTTCTTGTGTGTCGATATGGGTATTTCAAGGTCAATTGCCCGATCGTAGAGGTTTCAAAGCGGACCGATGCACATCGAGGTGCGTAGTAACTGACTACTAATAGTCCACGATGACAAATATATCATCACACGCTCAGAGTCGCAGACTAATATACTCCGATGTGCATTGCCCAGCCTCGAAAACCTACCGATAGATCAGGTCACTTGGAAATGCGCATGTAGCTTAAAAGTCCCTAAAAAAAATACAAACAATAACCAACTTGAAATCTCATCAACAGAGTAAATTATTTGATAGAGATAATTTAAAATTATTCGGAAGGTTAATCCCACTCATAGGAGACAATCAGGATTCGTACTGGCATTCATGGTTTGAATAGTAATAAAAGTGAAATTTTAGAATAGAATATAAAACTTTTAGACAGAATATAATAAAATGAAAATCGATTCTGCTAATCTTTCAACATCTCAAAGGTTTTATTCTGGCCAGATGTACGCCACCTACCATTATTTCCTGCCATGTGGACGTAGGCCTAATCTGCTCTGGATATCATAAATTTATGGCAATTCCTGTGGATTTATTATTTATTATTCATATTTTGTAAACTAGTATATATAGCTTGTAATCTAACGTATATAAAAGTCACGTATAGAGGCTTACGTATAGTAATAATTCAAAATCAAACAAAAAAAATTTGACATACCTAGAGGCTAACGAATCCAAATAATGTCCCGATTTCTGCAGAGCATCCCCCATTTCCTTTTCTATGGCGCTCCATTCGCTAAATACTCTTCCGTAGTTTGCATGAAGTTTATGGACATTGTATTGTTTTTCCGCAACTCTAGAACGAGCTTTGAGAAGATTGTTAAGGTTACTAGCTAAAGTTGATCCATAATCCTTGACCGATTCGAAATGTGGATCAGGTTTTTTAAGTCGTACTGACACACTGAGACTTTTTAACTTATTTTCTACTAGTTGTAAATATCCTAAAATCAAAATATTAATTCTTGAAAAAAGCGTTTTTAATGAAATTTGCTTTCATACCTTTTTATCTGATAAAAAAAATAAGTGGAAAGAATACAGTGAATTTTGTAATATCAAATAGAGTACCTATATACAGGTTTGTCTTTTTAATTTTGCATATAGCCGCTTAGAGGGCGACATCAATGAAACCTTCTGACACAAATGTAACCTCATTATTTTATTGACATAAATCAAGAGTTTCATTGCGATACAACAAATCGTGTAGATACAGTGAATTTTTAAATTAGTAAGTCGGTCGAAAAATGGATCTTAGCCGAGAACATTTTGGGGCAATAATTTTTTACAATTTTCGGAGATGATTCTCCCAACAGCAATGTCTCGCTGAAATTGTTTCTGTGTTTGGGAATAAAGCGTCACACCTGTCAACTATTTGCTGCTGGTATTGAATTTCAACATGGTTGCTTCTTCTCGGCAACGAATCCAAACCAGGTCCACCCAAAACAGAAGTCACACAGCACAACATTGACCCAGTTGATCAGCTAATTAAGGATGACTGCCGTGTAACATAAGTTAGAGGCATCTTTGGGCATTTCACAGACCTCAATCCAAACGATCCTACATGATGAACTGGGTGTTACGAAGTTCTTGGATGAGTCTTGGATTTACTCCTACGAATCGGAAAATTAACGCCAATCCGCTTGGTGGGTGTTTCACGATGAAAAAAAAAACAACAAAAGTGATCCGTTCTCGAAGTGTGTCTTAGAAAATAGTCGCAACTTTTGTATCAAAATCTGGTCATGTGGCAACAAAATACTTTACCCAGCATAACGAGTTGAAGAACTCGATAGTTTTCTTCGTTCCGCATCACGTGCTCGAGGTACTCAAGCTTACGTTGTTTCACTAAATTAAGCACTTCTTTTTCTTTTCTCATGCGCTGTAGCATCTCAACATTGGTGACATGGTTCACATGCGATATTTTTAGTATCCTTCTGTAGATCTACATCTTGAAGGCTTCCCGTGGCTGGTCTCAACTTGCGTGGAGGAGGGGCTTTGAATTAAGTAGAGGCCTTTCAGTACTTTGCGTAAGACATACTATAAGGGGAAGTCAACCTCGACACGGCGCGTCCCAATGGCTGATAGGGAAAGTTCTTGCAAATATGCAGGACAGGTACGAATAAGACATAGCCAAATAAGTACCCGCGGATCAACTGAGGACATGGCATTAGGCAGCTGTAATGTCATTACTGGATTAAGGCTGTGGGAAAGTAAAAAAATCCTGTAGACTTAATTCTAGATACTCACAGGCGCCCCTCGCATTATCGCAAGAGTGCAAACGGCTGTGACACTGCGATGGGGAAGGCAACGGGAAACCACCCCATATAGTCCCTATTTCATTCATCATGGTTAACCGTTTGTTTAGCAGAAGTTATCGCAAAACTCCGACAAAGCAACACAAAACGACGAAACGGGCACACTGCCTAAAAGACAATAGAATTTTGGAACTTCAAAACATCGAATTGTTAAACCATCCACCGTATAGCCCCGACCTAAGTCCCAACCACTTCTTCTTCTTAGTCGTTAACCTGATGCAGGTATCGTGATATCATGAAGCTGTTAGGTAATTTTTCCAATGTTCCTCCACGTTTTTCTATCTTCTGCCAATCTAGCACATTCTGACAATGGAGCGCCAATGGTAGCAACAATATGGTCCGTGTATCGTGTAGGAGATCTACCTCTACTTCTTTTGCCTTCTACTTTTCCCTGGATGGTAAGTTTTTCAAGACCATTTCTTCGAAGCACATGTCCAAAATAGCTTATTATCTGTTCTGTTATTTGTGTTCTTAGTCTTTTCTTTATGTTTAGCTGGACCAGTATGGATTCATTTGTTCTTCGAACCACTTCTACACGTTCCTAAATATCAAGAATTCAAATAGAACCTCAGACTATTTACTATTTATATCTAATTTGCATTGCAAGTTGGAAGTTGGTATTGCAATAAGGTCTACTATAAGTTATTTTGTGGTTTTTTGGTGGTGCTTGGTGCCTTTTTGAAAAAATGTCGTCTATGGGCGTCGCGTTGGAAGTTGGCTATTGCAATAAGGCCTATTATAAGTTATTTTGAATTTTTTTTTGGTGGTGTTTAGTGCCTTTTTGAAAAAATGTCGTCTATAGGCGTCGCGTTTATATTTTTCAAAAATACTTATTAGTTTTGTCAATATTCTAAAAAATTTAATGTATTTAAAACACATTGGCGCGAATTACTGAATAAATCTTTTTTCAGAGCCTATGTCAATGTCAATATCAACAATCTTTGATAATACTGATACTGATAGCACCATTGACCATGTGGTGACCCCAAAACCGTCTACCTCTAACAACAGCATTCCAAGCTTTGTTATTCGAACCAGCCAATCAAAAAAGAATAAGTTGGATCCCTAATTAGCCCGGTGTTTATATGCTACAAACACATCTTTTTGCGCAGTTGAACATCCTGAATAAAAAAAATGGTAAATGCATTACGTCCTGGACATAAGCTCCCAAATAGGAATTCTGTTAAAACTGACTTGCTTGATAAGGTGTATAATTCAGGAAAAACATCAATTAAAGAAAATGTATGCAACAAGAAGGTTTTTTTAGCGCTTGACGGCTGGAACAACGTTCATAATGAAGCTATAATAGGCGTATGCGTCACAGATATAGAAAGTGAACGGGGGTAACAAAAATTTGCAAATATTTCAAAAATGTACATTTTGCTAGCGAAAAATTCCGAGAAGCTGGTGGTTCTGCTCTTAAATTGCCTCAGAATGTTCGTTGGAATACTTTATCGGACTGCTTAAGTAGTTACTTGAAAAACTGGCTAATACTATTTGACGTTTGCTGAAACAATAGAATAACTATTGATGAAGATATAGTAAAGCCTGTAAATGATCCAAATTTAAAGACAAATCCCCAAGACTATTTAAAAAAGTTAAAGTATATTGCAGTTGCTTTGGCCACAGTTCAAAAAAATACATACACAATAGGAGAGGCTACAGAGATGTGGCTAGAACTTCTGCAAGCATTCGAGACCTGAACATGCAAATGGCGAATTTTCAAATGATACAAATGTGATACAAATAAAGTCAAGGTGCGTATGGAAAAGGCTTTGGCCCCAGTTCAATTTTTGGCAAATTTGCTTGATCATCGCTTTAGTGGAAATAAACTTAGTCAGGAGCAAATAGAAAGTGACATGGAATATGTAGAAACTTATCGTCCAGAAGCATTGCCAATTATTATAAATTACCCGGCGAAGTGTGTACTTTTTAAACCATACATGTTTTCTAAACATCTAATTGACAATGAATTACCATTGGCATGGTGATGTTCATGAAAAATATATATTACTACAGCATTGGAACTTGCTGAACAGCTTCACACAGCTATTGCATCGTCAGCCAACATAGAACTCTTCTCATCCTACGGTTTAGTCCATTCCAAACTACGAAATCGGCTAGGCAATGTCAAAGCTGCTAGGTTGGTTCAAATTTTTAAAGAGCTTCAAAATTCCATCAGTGATGACGTGATTTATCAGATAGATATCAGATTGATGACTTAACACGATTATGAAGAGACCAAAACAGTTTGAGAAATTTATTAACTATTGTATGCAAAATGATTACATTTTCCAAGTTTTGTTGTGTTTCCATTAATAATAAATACATATGTGTTAAAAAGTTTGAATAATGTATTTGAGATTTTTTTTGTTTATGTTTAATTATTATATTAATAAAGAAAATGATAAAACGCTTGTTTAATTTAAGTGTTGTAAACGTATTTAAAACTGTTTTAAACACAAGCAAATATTTAAAACATGTTTAAAACAGTTGATTGAAACAAAAAACCCTTGTTTTTTTTTAAGAAATAACAGAACTCCTCTAATAAGGAGGACCAACAGAATCGCACAACACTGATAGTATGATTTAAAAATCGTTAATAGAAGGTTTACATTTAACTTTAAGTAGCATAGTGAGGCCACGTTGTTTCAAAAAGCAAAGAAAAAGTTACCAGCTTTAATGGTTTAACAAAGAAAAAAGAAAACCAAAATAGAGTACTTTTAATAACATATATTTAATATTCCCTTGTATGTTAGATCTTAAACAGTCAATATACAACAAATAAAACATAAGGAAACTCATAAACTATGAGCATTATAATTATGTGAATACTCTTACCATTTGCTTTATATGACTCTCTCCAATCCTCCTCGTGTTGTAAAAACTCTAGGAAATGTTTGTCCCATGTTAATAAGGGGTGGGCAGCAATTCTGAGCAGGAAATTTTCTAATCCTGCTCTTCTTCTATCCACAAAATTTGGGTCAAATGTATCATTAGAAATTTTTTGCCAGCCGTACAGCACTCTTTTTTCAGGAAGAGGAGGTATAACTAAATATGGATAAGTAACTTCTAAATAATCATGAAGTTGTTCAAATTCCGTATATCTTCTCCATACTGTTGTCAATTTGCCGACTTTCTTCTGAAATTCTGGATCAGTAACTCTAAAAATAGCATAGGTATTGTAAATAATGAACTAAAAACTGAGATAATGAGAACACGACGCATTTACTTATGATTATAAAAGAATTTTATATTATAGCATTAATTTCCTTAATTTTAACAATTTTGACGAAACTGTATTTTCATTCTCTGCCTCTGCCTAAGAAATTAATTTTTTTATCTGAATACATATAAATATTCATATTTCCCATGAACACATGCAGTTCTTGTCTTAAACGCTTCACTCAAGCATTAATCCAATCGATAATCGCTCAAGATTTAATTAGCTCGCTATAATTGATTAAAGTGTTTTAAGTGTTAAAGATTTTCTCATGGGAACAGAATCACCACTTTTACCAGATAACTGTATACCCCTCTCCAAAAATTAATTAGCTTTGGGCAAAAGTTATAAAAACTAGCAATACAGCCTATTTCGATTATCCAATCTCCTATCGAAATGAATTGTGACGATGAATTTTTGTATAGAGTTCCACTGAAGTTCTAGGAAAATTAACACCAGGAAAATAGGTACTGCCGCTTTTGTATTCTATATTAGAAATTATATCAAATATTGGTAGTCACATATTTATATAAATACAGTGATAAGCGCGCTAATAACGCAAATACGCGAACATGGAAAACATATGAAGTTGTAAGATAAAAGAGATGAAACTAGTAGAGATGAGAAATTTAGTGATAGAAACCTATAAATTTACATTCTATTCACTGTTTTTCACCTTTAGACGTATCAGAGGAGGATGTCAACTAAAACTGTCACTGTTACAGGGGTAGTTTCCAAACTCTTACGTCTAAAGGTGGGAAACAATAAATGAAATGTAAATTTATAGGTTCTATCTATAGTTCCAGTACTATCAATTTACCACTTGTTTGTCGTTTTGATAAAATTGTTGTTATCTATGTTAATTTCACACAAAATATTGCAGCAAACTTATTGTTTTATATTGCTATACATGTATTTTGCACACGTATTACGCTATATATTTAACTCATCTCTTAATTTTGATTACCTCTGAAGCAATCCGACTGGGTACATGTTTTAGGAAGCCTTGAACACTACTACTTACATTTACTATTAGTTACTGAACTTTGTTCTTCTCAACAATGTTTATATTTTTTGTTAAATCAATTATTATAAAATTTTCAGTTAGCAGTGGGGGAGATCGGGACTAACTTTCAAATGGGGTACAATTGAATGGTATTTAAATCTACAGCATGAAAGAATAACCATTTCAAAATTATTTGTAATTATATCCTACATAAGTAAACATATCGTGGGCTTACTGCAAAACTCCATGTTTGGTCATTTTTCGGGTTTGTTCATAGAAAGTGTTAGACAGAGAAAAATTATCGATTGGTAAAACCCGTTATAAAAGCACTTATCCAAGGGTCAATTCATGCCAGGGATCGGCATTAAGTGTAACTTTATTTCTTGTTGCAATTAACGATATCTTGGAACAATGTCAACATCCAGTAAAAGCAAGACTATAACGCAGACGATCTGGTTATCCTACTAAGAGGAACAAATCTAGAATCCACCCAAAGAATCCTGCAAAGCGCATTAAATAATCTCCAGAAATGGTCTGACAAAACAGGACTCAGTTTCTCTAACGAAAAAACAAAATGCATGCTTTTCTCAAAAAAGCGAAAAGAGGATAATCCAATTTTAACATTGAATGGTAAAAATCTGATCTTCGTAAAAGAAATAAAGTTCCTCGGTCTTACATTTGACAAAACATTGAATTTGAAAAGTCACATTAAAAATCTAAAAGGTACTTGCCAGCAATGCATTAATATTTTGAAGACACTGTCGAACATCAACTGGGGCAGCGATACGGCAACTCTTCTACGAATCTTTTCATCATTAGTTCGATCAAAAATTGACTACGGCTCAGTGATATATAACTCAGCCAAAAAAACTGTTCTTAAAGAACTAGATGTAATCCAAAATACGGGACTGCGAGTCGCTTTGGGTACCTTTCGAACAAGCCCCATACTAAGTATATGTAGTGAATCAGGGCAAACCCCTTTAGAATTTAGAAGAGATTTTTTAAGTTTGTCGTTTGCTTGTAAAGTTCTATCCTCTCTAGATAACCCAGTCTACCATAACGTTCACAGCAATCGTTTCAGCCACTACTTCTCATCTCATCCTCAATGTAATCCGCCTTTCTATGAACGAATTAACCGATTACTTCATAAATATAGCATACAATTCCCGTCAATATACCATCCTTCCGAAAACCCTCCTCCTCCATGGACTGTAAATAAACCACCAGTAATTACTGATCTATCAAAATTTAATAAACATGAATCCCCACCAGCCATATTAATAAACAACTTCAAAGATATTATGGATAGATTTAGCGACTACCGACAGATCTACACAGATGCATCAAAAACAACGGACGGAAGTCGGCGCAGCCATTTTCTGTAATACTCATAATGCTAAATTTAAGTTGCATAACAACTGGACTATCTCCAACGCAGAACTATACGCAATCCTTGAAGCTCTAAAATTCATTAACACAACGGACCAGAGAAATTATACAATCATAACTGACCATAATGCTTTGTGACATCAAAAACATATACTCCAGCAATCCTATTCATAAATACATTTACAAAGAACTTCAAAATGCTGCAAAGGAAAACAAACATGTGGTATTAATTTGGGTTCCATCTCATATTGGAATACATGGTAACGAGGTTTTGGACCGTCTAGCTCACGAAGCAGCGACAAGTGATGGTCAAGTGCAATTAAATAAAATAGTGCCAAGTGATCTTAAATTGTGCTTAAAAAACATAGTTAGTTGTGCGTGGCAAAACAAATGGTCGCAGTGTTCCGAAAAACTAAGGCAAATTAAAGACAATGTTTTACAAAAACAAGCCTTTGTGTTACCTAGGAAAAAACAAGTCATCTTTTCTCGACTTCTAATTGGTCACACCCGTCATACACATCTTTACCGAATTACAAGAGACAATCCTCCATACTGCAACCAGTGTCAAACCAACAGTACAGTTAAACATATTTTAATCGAATGTCAAATTTTCCAGGAAACCTGAAGTACTTCCCAGCGACATAGGCGACCTTCTTAGAGACAATAATCATTTACACAATATTATAAAGTTTTTAACGACTATAGGCATAAAAGATATTTAAATTAATATCTAGACTGTACTTATATTACATATATCAATCTTCTTTAATGTTAGTACGTAATTAATATTAACCTTTCTTTGTTATAATATGTATTTTCCAATGTTGTCGTCTATAACTCCAGTGGTTCGGAAGACATTAAATAAATTATTAAAAAAAAATTCATGCCAAGTGGTCCAAAGGCTTGACTATTTTTAAAATTTTTTATTTTTCTACCTTTTATACTTTATAGACATTTCATTAAAAGACCGATGGCTACAAGAATCTTGCTTAGAAATTGAGAAACTGGAGCAACAACGCGACAGTTTCCATTTGCATAAAAAGCTAAAAGAATTAACAGGTAAAAGCAGAACTTATGGGCAAAATATTGTTACGATTTTAAATGTTATGGCATATAGAACTGTAAATATTTTATGACTAATCCTTTTTTATTGATTCTCGTAATTTGTAGGTCAAAATCTACCTGAGCTTCGATACCAGTTGTTTACAGAAATATCTACACCCTAATTTTAGTGAGTTATCCACGACTCGAAGTTGAAAAAGAACTAGTCTCAGCGGTTAATTGCCTTCACCGAAAAAAACCAGTATATTCCATGGAGTTCTTTGCAAAAGTAGGTCACCGAAATTTCCAGATAGCGGAAGTTTCTTTATATATAAAGACGAAATTTTATTGAAGAACTTAGTCATAAGAAGATCGGGAAAAGCGATTTACTTGTAACGAAACGTAACAAATAAATTTTTATTTAATAAGCTATTTAATAAATTAGTAATTAGTTATCGTGAGTTTTAATAAATTAGAATATAGACAATAAATTAGAATAAAGACAAATAAATTAGAACTAGATATTACAATATATTACAAGACTCTGGTGGTAAAATTTTAAGTGATATTAAAGAGCGCCGTACCGGATGCGAAAATTACATAATAGACTTACTTAACGATGACCAAAGAATCTACCAAGAAATAACATCTAACCGAGATACAGGCCCACCGATTCTAATCTCAGAAGTTCAGAAGGCTATCGACCAAGCGAAACGAAGGCAGGCTTCTGGTCCTGACGAAATACCTGCAGAATTGTCAAAACTATTAGATAATGAGAGTGTTGCGATTATCACATCCTTCTTTAATAAGATAGACAGCAGCGGCAAATTACCAGACAACTGGTTAGAATCGATATTTATAACTATTCCCAAGAAAAAGAATGCCAGACAGTGTAGCGACTATCGACTTACCAGTTTAATGAGTCACACGCTCAAAATGTTTATGAAAATATTGCATTGTCGCATACATAAACTTTGTGAGGGATAACTGGTGATGAGCAGTTTGGTTTCCGAAACGGTATGGGTACTCGAGAAGCTCTTTTTTGCATGCGAATACTATTACAAAAGAACATTGAGTTTAGGAAAAATATTTACGTATTAATTGATGGATTCGACCGTTTACTTGATGGAAATTCATTTTATGTAACAATAAAACACTGAAAACTGTGTTTTCAAACTTCCACAAAATTTATTTTAAATATTATCACTAACACCACTCACTTAAACAAGACAGAAAATACCAATACAACAAACGGGACATAATAGCTGTTTATCTTAAGGTATGTCATTCAGAATTAAATTATAGATTAAATAATATAGAATTTGACATCCTAGATTCTAACGTGAGAATTAATATAGATAATATAATAGATAAAAAATGTAATACACAGTGTAAAAAACTAGATAATCTAATTTCCAATAGTAAAAAACCCAATATTCATTATACAAAAAGTTTTTCGAACCATACTTTTTTCAATAGATTTATAAATTTAACAGATACTAAAT